CCGGGGGCTCCCGCCGCTGGGCTTGTTGGCGGGGCCGGCTTCTGCTGGCCGGCGCCAGTTCTCTCCGGCTAGGGCTGCAATTTGTGCAGAAGCCTTGCTCACTGCCCCTTCTCGTCCTCTCCCACAGGCTGCGGAGGGCAACATGCTCATCAGCTCCTCCTCCGACCACTCCCTGATCGTCTGGAAGGAGCTGGAGCAGAGGCCTCTGCACCAGTACAAGTCGGCCTCCGACCCCGTGCACGCGTTCGACCTCTACGGCAGCGAGGTGGTGACCGGCACCGTGGCCAACAAGATCGGCGTTTACTCCATGTTGGAGCCTTTGGCCCTGCCAGTCAGCACCACCAAGCTGAGCTCCGAGAACTTCCGCGGCACCCTCACCAGCCTGGCCGTGCTGCCCACCAAATGCCACCTGCTCCTGGGCTCTGACAACGGCGTGATACGTCTCCTGGCGTAGCGACCGCCCCGGGCTGCCTGCCTGGCACCCTGGCAGGAGCCTGCACCCAGTCCTGCTAGCTCCAGCAGTAGAAGTGAAGGGGCAGTGTCTGCTCCTGGGGGCTGGGCGAGAAGCCGTGCTTACGAGATGCAGGGAAAGGCTCTTGTTCATGAGTGCTCGGCAGATTGCTCCCAACCCCTGCCTGCATCCAGAAAAGCCATAATGGAGAAACCTCCGCTACTGCTGGGAGAACTGCTGGGCACTGTAGGTCACTGCCCCTGTAGAGGCCTGGAGCCTTCCACACCGCATGTGCCTGACTCCCTGGGGGACTGAGCTGCTCTCTAGACCAAGTGGACCCGGGCTTTCTCTCTCCTCCCTCCAGGAGGGGGGTGAGAGGCAGCCCTTGGTAAGAGAAGTGCACTGGCCCTGCACACTCCAGCTCAGGGTCCCTGGACACCTGCCCAGGGATGGTGTGAGCTGGGCCTGGGAACCACCACCACCTCCCTCTGGGGTGTGCAGGGCACCAAAATGCAAGCCCAGTGCCTGGAAGGCTGAGGGCTCAGAGGCACAGCTGGGTGCTCGATTTGCTTTATACTCTGCTGCAGTTCTGTTCACTTCCTCCCCTCTTCCCCCCACCCTGGGACCCTTCCTGACACCCACTGAGGCTTCACACTGACTAGGAAGAGGAGGGTATTGGAGCCAGCTGTTCACCCGAGTCTCAAACCCCACACGCTGCCCTGCTCTGTCTGGAAATGCACCTGTGGAGGGGGCTGGCCTGGGAAGTGGGGCAGTCCCCTCTGTCAAGGGAAGCCAGAAGGGAGACCTGTGTGTAGGGATTCAGGCCCGGGGTCTAGGCATTGCCTCCTGGGGTAGCAGGTGTGGACACCTTGCTGCTGCTGGCTCCTTTCACGCACTGTTGGGATCTGGGTGCCCTGGGGCCTGACAGGTGTTTGCTGTGGAACAAAGTGGTGCAGGCAGCTTCTGCTGAGGGAGGGTGGAGTGCAATCACTGGCCTGGGCGTCCAAGTACCCCTTGCTTGTCAGGTCTCCCTCCCTGTCCTGACAGGGCTAGAGCCAGGGTGGTCTGGCCCCAGCCTGCCCTGTGCCTCTGCTACCCTCCCCAGAGCTCTGTCTCCTGCCCCCACTTCTCTGGGACAGGGGCTGGAGCGGGCCTTCCAGGCAGCAGTGCCTATGAAGGTAAATGCCCAAGGAAGGGGTAGAAAACCCCCTAGGGCCACTGGCAAGGGTAGCTGCCTGCCTCGCCCCCACAGCTTGGTTCAGCTGCAGCCCTTTGAGCTGGGCAAGCCCTTGCTGAGGGGCTGGATGTGGGGCTGAAAGGCCTGTGTCCCTGGTAGGGGGTAACTAGCAGCAGCAGGGTACCTGCAGCTGCTGTGGGGGCATGTGGGTGCTGCCTGCGAGCCCCTGAGCTGCCTGCTGTTGGGAAGCCCCAAACCCTCGCTGTCCTGTGCTTGCAGGGAACGGGAGGTAGCGCTGGGTCCCTTGCTGTCCTTCCACTCTGGAGGGAGCTCTCAGTCCCTTGTTGTCTATTAACCATTTGCAATAGATGTAAATATTTATTCTAATAAACCCTTTGAAAGAGAGACAGAGGAGCTTTTCTGTGGGCTGGGGCAAGAGGCCTGCTGCAGGCCGAGCACAGCAGGGTGGGGTGTGAGCTGTGCAGCATGCCAGGGTGGGTGCTCTGGGTGCCTTTGGAGCCCATACTTTCAGGCCTCCTGCAGAAA